ATAAATGTTGCCACCAAGCCAAGGGGTTCTTTTGAACAGAATTCAAGTATTAGTGCTTCTAGGTAGAATTAGGTTCTTACCATTTAGATAAACATGAAAATTGACATAATCTCTAAATTCTGATTCTTAAAATCTCATAAGATTAGGTTTTGAGTTTTAACTGTTTGATGTAGAAATATGCAAATATGGAGCCAAAATAGTATGATGGGAAAACTCAGCTGCAATAAATGTTGATTTTATCAGCCTGGCTGTGAAAGTTTTCAGTGGGAATGGTTGCTTACCTCTGAAAAGCAGCCAACACAAAACATTTGTGATGGATGTAGAGCTGGGCCCAGCTTCCCATTGAAAGGAAAGGAGAAAAAAAAAAAAGCAAAGCTTCAAAATCCATCTGAAAGGATGGGATTTCCTTATCCTTTGGATTAGTAGAGTTTAGTAATGGCTTCCATTTGTTAATTAGCAGAAATTAAAGGCAGATTTCTCATTAGATTGGATTTTCAGTGCATACTATTAGTATTTGTTTAAAATTCAATTCTATCCTCATTCAGCTGCTTAAATCTTTCAGGCAATTCCCACCACCTGAGCACAGTGTGAAAGGCCCTCACTGTTTCCTTGCTACACTCTTCCACTCTTATCTGGAGCCATTCAGAACTCCATGTAGCACCTTGATAATGTGATCCATAGATCTTTTTATACTAGCCAGAAGGCTCTTGTGTTTGGAGTACGCATAAGTCTTAGAAATAGTGAATGTCACCAATGAGAAACTGTGGGTCATTCAATTGAACATGTTTTGGATAAAAACAAACCTAGAGAAATAGATTTTGTACATAAGGTTACCAAGCCTTCAAATAAAAATAGGTATGTAGTGGTTTTGATTAAATAGCTTAGCTAACAATAGCTTCTGGTTAAGTACTCACGCATGCCAGGAGTTCCAGAGTACTTATAGATCAGTCAAATCACTACATCGCAGTCAAGTCACAGTGTTCATTTGAAAAGACAGGAACTGATGGTCAAGGAGGTTAAGCTTTAGATCTCAAACCAATTTTGTTTTTTCTTCATTTAGCTGACACTGGTTTTCTTTTATTGACTTGGTACTTTAACAAAAAAATTTTATGGGTCAGTTACTTGGTCAGTAGAGTGAATATAATAAGAATACCTTTGTGTTTATGTCTAGAAGCGATATTAAATGTAGCAGTAATACCCCTTTCAGTGTAGTTTTGCTTCTAGACACTTCTTTCTCATCTTTACTCTCAAGCTCCTATATTACTTGATGCTCAGAGAGGAAACCCACCTAGCCTACCATCTGCTTTCAGCACTTTTACCAAGTTGCTTACGAATCCAAATAACTCAGGGGCTCCCCCTGCTGTTAGCTAACCCATGATTTTGTTATTTCCTTTCAATAATATTTGAACAAACCCGAAGTGTCTGAAGAACATTACCAGATGTAATCTTTACAATGAAGGGATGATGAGATTTATGTAAATATTGCTGAAATACTAGGTGGTAATTGATGAATACTACAAGAGGGAACAAAGAAAATTCCATAGGTGTTAGAGGGCAAAGAGTTAATTACAACTGGAGAATTAGAGAAGGCTTCATGGGAGATTTGAATGGCTCTGGATCTGAAAGGATGAGTGATGCAGACATGTGGGGTTGCAGTAGGAAGAGGATCAGCATGCCTGCGGGAGGGAACAGCATTGGCATAGGCAGGCTGATAGAGGGAGGCAGAGATGAGTAAATGTATTGGGAGCATTCATGTCGAAATGCAAGAGTTACCTATGATTATAATTGTGTTGTCTAGCTTGGGTGGCAGTGGGCTGGATGCTTGGTGGCAGGGAAAGAGTGTCAGGTGAGAAGATCATTGAGATGGTTGTTGCCGTGGCGTGGCTCCAGGGTGGAAAGCCACTGAAAATCCCAAACCTACCAGCCGCTCCTGTGAGTACAGAGAACAGGGAGAAGTTGCCCAGGATGCTTCACCCCTTCTCTTTCCCATACCCCACGCAGTGTGTTGTGGGAGAAACTGTAGGGATCCCTGCTGCCTGGTCCACAGAGGGTGGCCATTTGCACACTGGTCTCCAGCTGAGGGGCTCTTGTGCCCCTCCCAGCTCCAGTTATGCCTGGAAAGACAGTGAAAATGAGGATGGAAAGTATGTACACCTGGATTTATATAGAACTCCTGCGGCCATACGCATTGCTCGAGGGTTGGTGTCTTTATAGCAGCAGGCAGTCTTAGGCTCAACTCACCCAGCTGGACCTATGGGGGAAGAAAGACTTCTAAGAAACTAAATCTAAAGAGAAGTCAGAAAACAATTGGTGTGTCCGCCAACCTGTGCTGCATACTTCCTGGCCAAACCCTTCTTTCACCTGGTGTGGGGTTATAGTAGCACCCCAATTCTTGATTCTTTCTTTGCCTTATGACAGTTTGTTCTAAACCCTCCCCACTGTAACATTGACCTTGGGAGGCACTCGATTTGGCGTCATGGAGATTATCCATGGTTTTGAGCAGAGAAACAGGTCCTTTTATGGAAGCATGTAGCCTCCTTTGTCTACTGATTAACTAAGTGGAACTGCTGGTGACTCTTTAGACAATCCCATCTGCGAGGTGTGTTCAGTACATTTGAGATTTTAACCAAGAGGCACAGTTTCTATGGGGCACTTGCTGAAGTCATGCTGGCTGTGATGGGTTCCCTAACTCACTATGTGCAAGGTTTGTACCTTTATTTGGATAAGGTTGCAGAGATTCTCAGCTAAAAGATCAACACACGTAGCATCTGAGGACTGTTTGGGCTAACTGTCATATATTGCTTGTCATTGGGGAATTTTGAGCCTTTATTGTACTGTGATGCCTCAGATATTTAACTACAGTCCTTCTATTTTAGTTGACTTAGTCTTTGGATTTTTATTCTTTTTATTTTCTCATTAATTTTCAAAAGATGTTGCTATGAAAATGTTAGGCATTGCACTTTGGTGGATAGAGCATAGGTCATGTTTTTTAGTTTTAGCTTTATGCTGTAGTACTTACATTTTGTGTCAACATTTTCCTGTCTGTGAAGATTGTAGTTCTTTTATTTGTAGGGTTGTCATTGGAATCAAATGCATGCAAATAAAACCTGCATGTGCCATATCTAGACCACGGGAAACCATTGGCTGCCACTGTGTACAGATTTTCCCATCAGATGCCTTAGATTTCAGCAATGTCCTGGGTCATCTCAGGGGTTTAGGGAAGCATCATTGATGACTTTGAACTTAAACTCCTGCTTTGACTTTAGCTGACTGTTGCTGCACATGTTTCTCTGGAATTTTACTTGAAAACACATCTTTGCACTTTGCCAGTGTTCACCCAATCTCCCTGCCATGTGCTGGAGTCCCTGGATGCATGCCCTGCCCTTTTCCTCCTTTCACCCCTACCCCAGGTAGTGAACAGTCTCACCTTCCCTTAGCTGTATGCTTGGTGGGTGGCCTCCATGCGTGGAAGTAAAGATGGACGAAGTCTTTGGTTTAGGAGCTTGTCCGTGGAGGAGTCCTTCTCTTTCTTCTTAGTACAGATAACATGTAGTTGACATTTGTTTAGCATTTGCCAGTCTCTGACAGGGCTGTGGATCTAGAACTGGGGGAGAAGTTGTCCTCAGCCGTGCAGAGAATAGGCAGAAACCTGTGGTTACCCTGTGTCAGGATGCATTTTGTAATGGACAACCTTTTGCACTTGCTGCTGGGACACAGAGTTGGGAAGGTGGCAGTTCTAAGTGTGAGTAGATCAGGTGTGGCACTCTCTCCCACACCTTCCATGTTCTATGATCACTGTTCCATTAATGGGCATGAAAGTAGCCAGAGAATTACTAATCGTGCACTGTGGACTTTCTAGGAACCATCTGATGTTGAATATTTTGCCATAGTCAGGTCTGACAATCAGCTGGGGACAGGGAACTGTAAAAGAGCAAGTTAATTATCATGAAATATTTACCAAGGTTGTTTTGAGGGCAGGAGAGTAGTGATGGTTCTGTACCAAGAGATGTGCCTGGAGGTCCACAGCACTCACATTTGGGCTGTCAGCTCCAGACTGCAGCTTGTTGCACAGCCATCCCTTTTCCTCTTGCCAAGGCCCCATGAGGTTTTTCTTCTATCTCAGGAAAAGAGACCCCACTGGTTATGTGTACAGTCTACCCTAGATAGCTGTGGGAGTCTAAGAAAGGAGCCAGATGGCACTCTCCAGGGTCTCTCATAATTCCATACACTGAGTCACAAAATGGACAATTCTGAGAGGGGGGGTTGGGTGTTGACCAGAGGGAGTCTAAGGCCAAAAAGGTTAAGTAGCCGTTCAGGTACTTCAGCCAGTATTCCTTCTGCTGCACCCCAGTGACGCCCAAGAAAGGGCTCTTGCTGCAGGTTCTCCTCTTTCCCTCCTTCCTCTGTTCTACCATGCCTTGGGAGCATGGCTCTGGACAAGCATGGGTAACTGGGGAAACACCGAAAGAGAGATAGTCTTTAGTAGCTGTCAGAAGGTCAGCCCTCTCTGCGAAGGTTCCAACTGAGGATAGACCTGAAGGGCCTGGACAGGATGAGGCCACATGGCACTCAAGTGAGAAGAGAAGGAGAAATAACCATGACCATCACAGGCCAGGCAGACTCTGAACTCAGAACCCTCTGTGGATTAAATTGCTGAGATTGAAGGAAGCAGTTAAGGCTCCCTGGCTGTTGCCCAGGTACTCACTGCTAAGTTGCCATTGGGACATAATGGTAAGAAGGGTCCTGTACAACCAAATCAGGGTGTGAAAGGCGGGGACTAGAGCAGGTCACATGGCTCTGCCTTGGTCTTCTCTCCTGGACTTCCCAGGTAACTTTCTGAAAACTTGGGAAGATTCATTAATGATGTCCCTGAAGGAGACCAGAGAGGACAGCATGTCCTAGTGTGCCAGACCAGGGACAGCTCTGGGATCCTCTGCAGTAGTGAGAGAAGTCTTGGCAGAAAAGATGGCAAATGCATTTTTATCCTCTTTCTGTTTCAGACAGCCCACCCGAAGATACTGATCCTAAAGACTCGTTTCTCATTCCAAGAAACATCATGGCTGAGCCAGACTACATAGAAGATGACAATCCTGAACTAATCAGGCCACAGAAACTCATTAATCCTGTCAAAACGTCCCGGAACCATCAAGATCTCCACAGAGAACTCCTTATGAATCAAAAAAGGTATGGTGGTTTCTTGAGCATGGTTTTTCTTAAGGGATTTTTAAGGTAACTAGGTTTAATTTTAATTGTATTTATAGAAGCTTCAAAGAGTCTTTTATTTTTACTTACTTAAGACTTCCTTACCTCTTCTCAAATCCTCAAGCCAGGTCGTCCCTCCATAAAGTATGGCCCCTGCAGGTACAGCTGCCACTAGCAGGGTTTCCCATATCCCCTCCTAAAATGGATGTGTTTGTTGCAAAACTTGGTGGGAAGGGCTGGGCTAAGGATAGAAGAGAGTATCCTATTAAGAAAGAAATATATTATTGTTTAAATATAAAATCTCTGAATTTTCCCCTTAAATTTGGGAAAGTGTAGGAAGCAAACGTAAATCTTGCTTGCATTAAGCATTTGTAAGTGGCAGGGAGATGTCATAAATGCCATATTAGACTTAGTAGATTAGAACACTCTCCCTTATGTTTTTATTGTTTTGTTTTAAAGCAGTGTTTTAAATTATTATCACCATCATTTCTATCAAATTTTTAGAGGGAGCAAAACAACTTAGTCCCATCTGTTGCATAAATACTTTTGAATGTTGGACTGGTGTCCTGTGATTTTTAAATGATATTGAGAGAACTGAAGTTACTTTAGCCAGGTTACTTCGTTTATTTAAGAATTAGTAAGGTTCATTTAGATCTAGTTTTAGGTCTTGTGGAATTATAAATCATCCATCCACCCACTCTTTGAACCCAAAGTTAAAATATGCAAACCAAGTTAAGCATTGGGGTAGTTTTTTGAAGCCAAATGTGTTCCTATGAAAAGCAAAGGTGAAGACTGTAAGCAATTCTTGTTCTGTGTTGATCTCATGCTCCCTCCCTCCATTCCCTCACCCCTTTTCTTTGCTGGCACTTTACAACTTGAGTCATGCCTCCAGCCTGACTCACCTCTCTTCTAACTTACTATTATATTTATCTCTATAAACTGCCTTGAATCTTATGTTTATTTTTATCCTTTTTTATTCCAAAAAACTATTGCATGATTTTGAGAGATTCCTTGGCCTTTTACTTTGAGTTTTCTCCACCTTATATAGATGATTACAAGATAATGCACACAGGTTATGGAACAGATCACTGGATGAGATAAACACAGGATAAAGCACTTTATAAGTTACAGAAAAGAAAATAGACTTTCCTTACATTACAAACAATAATCAAGACTAGTGTCCCTGAACCAAATATGTATACTATTGATGTAACATTTATATATTTGGCACTAAAATTTAGAAATAACCCCCCAAAATCTTTTAAAAGTATAGAGATAGAAGATAAATGAAAGGAAGAAACTGCTTGAAATATTTTCACCCTAAAACCAGTTAATTTCTAGCAGACTACCAAAGTAAGATTTTTACATTGAAAAACCTGTTTATGTCTTCAACATAAGATGAAATATATTGTTTTTGACCTTGAAATCTACCTTTTCTTTTTAAAAAATGTACTTCCATTCAGGCCAAAATCTTTCAAGGAGAAGTATGGAAATGAGATGGACATTTCCCAGTTATTCCACATGGGAAGTGGAAGGCAGATGGAACTAGCTGGTTGTTTATGTGCCAGGCATTTTAATACATGCAATTATTTATTTTAATTTTTATACAAAAGACATTATTTTTCCAGCTTTGTAAATGAAGAAACAGATGTCAAGAGGGGTACCCTGGTCAAGATCATAAGCTAAGGTAGTTCAAGCTAAATGATGAGTTGGGATTCATGGGATTCATGCCATTTTTCTCTAATCTCTGAGCTTGTGTCCTCTCTACACTCTGGTGCCTGAGGGAAAGTCAGCATTCTCCAACATGAGTTGAGTTGGGCCTGAAGAGTCAGCTTTGTATGTAGAGAAAAAGAATGAGCCAGAGAAAGATGACAGAAAGGAGGTCCGTTTTCTTAGAAACTTGGAAACAGATTCTGTATGTTTGGCAGTGCTATGACCCAGGCTATAAATTATTTTTACAGAGTAATCTGTATCCTATAATCCAGAGGACATTTTTCCTGCAAAACTTGTTTTTATGTTTGCCTTTATTCTGACTTAGAGCCTTTTCATAAATTTCATAGGAGAAAAAAACTGGTATGAACTAAAACATTTCTTAGCATTCATCTAAGCCTCCTACCCTCATTTTACAGAAAAGGAACAAAGGCCCCAGAGGAAAGACAGTCAGAGAACCAGGAAGTAACAGGGGCTACTCTGGTGATCTTCCAACAAAATGCACATAATTCCCAGCGGGGTTGCTTCCAACTGTGGTCTCTGTAGGAATGTAGAGAGGCCTGCTGAGCACTAGAAGAGCAAACCCATATTCTCTTTTTCTTTTCTATTGTGTGATAAAAGCAGAAGCCACGCATTTAATCAAAATGATCAAACTGGTGTTCAGTTTAATAAACATTAATCCAACAGCACCCTGGCGTACATGATAGGAATGGAAAGGGAGAAAGTCACAATCCCACAATCCAAAGGGAGCAATGTACTTACAAAGAATCCCTGGGACAGGATTTGCTAGCTCTGCTAAGCAGGAGTGTACTTGGGAGGGAGAATTGCCATAAAAATTCCTCTCAGTCCTTTTTTTTAAATTCAGAACTTTAGATTTTTAATCCAGGAATAAAAAACAGGATTCAAGGTAGTTTATAGAGACAAATAGCACTAATACTGTAAATTAGAAAAGGCGCAAGGAAATGGGAGGGAGGGAGCATGAGACCAACATGAAGGAAGCCTGACCCAGAGACTTGAACTTGCTATATAGAGCTGATGTGTGCATGGACTGGGAAGCTCTATGAGATCAGAAGATAAAAGCAGTCATTGTTTAGGACAAATGTTCATAGGTCTTCTAACTCTGAACCCACGCCTTTACAGGCATGTAATGCAGCTCTTCTATTTACCATTTTTTGGATCCAGCTAAGATTCTGGTTAAAAGTCTTTACATTTCCATCTGGTCACAGTTTTCTGCTAGGTCTGATTGTTCCGTTCTCAGATTCCATAGGCTTCCTTAGTAGCATAGAAAGGCACATTTTAGAAGGCATTGTTTTTTGGACTTGAAAGATCAGTGTTGGAAGGTCTCTAAAAAATAATAAGAATATTCTAAAATTTAAGAACATTCTACCTTCTATAAAGGGTAATTTTTTTGCTCAAATAAGCCAGTTACTTAATTACGTCCCCAAAATTGGTTCTTTGGCTGTATATTTCTAAGTCAGTGGTTTCTAGTTCCCTGCATTTTCAGTTGGTCTTTTGAGATGCTTTATTAGACAAACAGTTTCTCAATAAATACTTGCTGTTCAACATGAAAAAGATAGGGGAAATTGTTAGATACTGGGTGGAAGTGTTTATGTTTGAATCCATGCAGGTAAAACAGCTAAGCCAAAAATGCAAGTGAGACAGGCCAAACAAGAAAATTTCAGATTAAAGATCAAGTTCTGAAATCCCAAGCAACCACCCCTCAAAAAAGGATAAAAGAATAAAAAGAAAAATATTAGGCTAGGAGAAGTTTGGCTGGGTGGAAAGGGAGCATGTCATGTGTTGGTTTGAGCCTAGACCCTCCCCTGGCTGTGCACTGTCCCCACTGAGGAGGTGACTTTATTTATAGTGCACGTGGAGTTCAGGTGGATGTGGAAAGAATGTGGGCTTTTCCGGTCTGACCCTGAATGTGCTTAGTGGTTTAAGCATAATATGAAACATACCTTTCAAAGTTGTACATTTCATACTGGCAGTGGGACTAGAAATTGCTGCAGTTTTTTTGGAGGGCAGTTTGGCAGGACACATCAAAATATAAAATTTGCAGATGTGTAGCCAGCAACTCCACTGCTGTGGATCTAGCCAAGAGAAATGCTGGTATAAGAGTGCAGATACAACCAGGTAACGCTGGCTCACACCTTAATCCTAGCTACTCAGGAGGCAGAGATCAAGGAGGATCTTGGTTTGAAGCCAGCCCATGCAAAAGGTTCTTGAGGCCCTATCTTGAAAAACCCTTCATAAAAAAGGGCTGGTGGCATGGCTCAAGGTGTGGGCCCTGAATTCAAGCCCCAGCACTGCAAAAAAAAGAGTGCAGATACAAATGTACGCAGAGGTTCATTGCCCCGTTGTTTTTAGTATTGAACAATTGGAAACAACCTAGGTGTCTGTCAGCAGAGAAAAGGCAAAATTCAGGCACTCTGCACTGTGATGTGTCATGCAGACGTGAAGGAGAGAGAGGAAGAGCTCTGTGTACAGGTAGAAGACAGGGAGAAGCACAGGCCAAACTGTTAGGAACAGCTATTCCTGGGTGCAGGAATGGGTAAGGCTTGGTGGGGATAGGACCTCTACCTTGTGTGATGTTTTAGGGTCACCATTACATAAAGCAAATAAATGGTGCTCTCATGATTTACTTAATGAGGAGGGTTTGGGTGTGCTTTCACTTTTTATCTTATGAGTATGGATATATAACCTCCTTTGTTTTTGGAAAGAATGCATATTAATTTCATGTTTTTTTTTTTAGTACTGGGACTTGAACTCAAGGCCTACAGCTTGAGCCACTCCACCAGCCCTTTTTTGTGGTCTTTTTTTTTCAAGATAGAGTCTCACAGACTTTTTGCCTGGGCTGGCTTTGAACCATGATCCTTCTCATCTCTGCCTCCTGAGTAGCTAGGATTACAGGCGTGAGCCACTGGCGCCTGGCTAATTTCATGATTTTTTTTAGTTGACTTTACTCTTTGTAATAGTCGGAGGCAGCTCCATGACCAGGAAGCAGACTTGGGAATTATTTAGTCTTGTAGTCCAGAGCCACCAGGACTTGTTTGTCATGAAGGGATTGGAAATACTTGTTGATGTAGGTGTCAGGACTGATTAATGAGTATCCACTGTTCTCATGCAAGGGATTAGTCTATGGTTATTTGTGAACTTTGGAGAGGCTCATTTCTGTTAGTGTTATCTCTGCAGTCTGATCTACTTTAGACTTAAAGAGGCTTCTGGGTAGCACTTGACTTCCCATTTAGAACAGAAAGTCAAGTGATCTGCTGAGATAAAATATTGATGGACTATATGTGTATGACTTCTTGACCATTACAAGTACAGAGTATTTATCATAGAAGCACCATTTTCCGTTACTAAATATTTTATCTTACTGTCACCATTATGTAAAATCTTTGAGCAGAAAATCAAACTGTGTAATAGTTAAACCCATTCATATGTTGTAATGGGAGATTAGTTTAATGTGCCATACATCAAAATCTGTTCAGTGGCTTTTGCATAATCCAAAAGAATTTAATAATAATTAAAGTTAATTTTGCCAGGGAAAGGAAAAATGTCTGAAATTTAAATTATTAAGAGAACTGGTTTTTTTGGTGGTACTGGGGAGTTAAAGTCAGGGCCTTGTACTTGCTAAGCAGGAACTCTACCCCTGAACAACTCTACCAGCCCTTGGTGCTATGGGCATTTTTGAGATGGGGTCAGGACCTCCATCCTCCTGATTACTGCTTCCCAGGTAGTCAGGATTGTAGGCATGAGCCACTACACCCAGCTAGATAACTTAAATTCTTAATCCTAACATTTAAATCTATTAATCATTTCTGTAGTTTCATGTCAAGGCTTTTTGATAGTCATAAACCTCAGAAACTCTTTATTCAGATTATTTTTTTTTAATTTCCTGTAGTTAATGATTTAATTTCCAGAATATTTTGTCTGTACTTTTGTACCTCTGTTTACTCTTGATAACTGTGCAAACTATAATTAAGTCATAAAAGTGAACTACCTCCTTTTTGCACTGGAAATTTGGTCGGCTTATTGTTATTATCATATTATTGTACTGGGCAATTTTTTATTATTTTTAACTGAAAGTTCTGCTAATAAAAATTGGGAAAGTAGAGACATACATTATTTTGATGGTATGTCCTTTATCATCATAGATGGAATATGCTAATCTTTATAAACAACTTTGAAAAAATTTTCATTGCGATTTAAAAAATGTAGGTAGGAGAAATGCCATAGGTTTTCAACATTCTGCATTATGCAGGAAGTGTGAAATTGAGGATTAGTTTGTAGATTTGATCATGTGACCTTGAAAGGGATTGAGGAATGTGTGTTTCATCTTTATTTTAAATTTGCTTGATAAATTTTAACATCCAGTTGAGGTTACTTATGAGCTGGTGGAGCTAGCAAAGTAAATAACTAAGGAAAATAATAAGGAAGAGGGAGTAGGTTTATCCAGCATCCTGGAAAGTCCAGGCTGGAGAGATCCTAACAAGAAGGCAGAGGAGTGGAGAAAAGGTGAATCCCAGCTAACAGGAAGCAGACACAGTAGTAGAACGCGCTAACCCGTGTCTTTCCCTGACTCGCCTTAGACCTTCAGGTGGAGGGTTGCTCGTGAATGGCCTATTTTTGTTTGGTTTTCACCATTTGAAGAAGTGGCCACCTAATTCCCTGCAGCCTGACTGTCCTGCAGTACCTAATGAATTGCACGTCTGAGGTAGTTCGGGTGGCAAGAGCCCTGGGCTGGCAGTTAGGGGATGAGTCCTGCATGGTGTGTCCTCAGGGATGCGGTAGTCATGGATGTGCCTTTAAATGCACAAGAGCCCTTTTCAAATCGGAGGAAGGATGGCAAGAGATTCCAAGGCTGTTTTGATACCTGTGTTTCGTGCCAGCCTGTCTCTAGGTCTCGAGTAGTGCATGGCTCTGAGGCTGGATCTTCAGAAGCCTCCTGGACACAAGGGGAAGTCACCTCACATCCTGGGCATGTCCATCTTCACATGGTGCCCTTCATGCCATTGTACGAACGCCACCTCACCCCACCCACATCCTACTCTGTGTGGCCTAGAGTCTGTCATACAGTAGGGCCACCATACATTTTTATGGAATGAGTGAATTTTTTGAACTCTAGAAGATGTTCTTGCCCTTTCTTGCATGCTGGTGAATTTCTGAGCACTGCCTATTAACCGGTTAGCTTAATAGGAAGTATCACAGTTGTCTAATTCCATAGGCTTCCTTTCTGTGGTTGACATCTTAAATACATTTCTATTCATGAAAGAAATGCCCATTAGATTAACATTTTTATTTCTGATAATGCTCTTCTTTGCAGGGGTCTTGCCCCTCAGAATAAACCAGAATTGCAGAAGGTGATGGAAAAGAGAAAACGGGACCAAGTAATAAAGCAGAAGGAAGAGGAAGCTCAAAGGAAGAAATCCGACTTGGAAATGGAACTGCTGAAGCGGCAGCAGAAGTTGGAGCAGGTAGGGTGATGGGGGCACAGTTTCCTTTGTCCTGAGAAATACGGATGTTTTGGGCAGGCCAGATTCCTAGGTCTGTCAGGTGTAAACGTTTATACCCTAAAAGAAGAACAAGAAGCAAAATGTCAGCAGTGGCACCAGTTATATCTAAGGCAGAGATGAAAATTCCATTGAGGATGTAAATGAAATGCTAAGGCAGAAACAAATCAGAAGACTATGACTGAATTCACACAGTGCTGGGGTAATTTAGTGCAGTTCAGTTGTTCAGACTCCAGAACAACTGTGCTGATTTTAGGGTTTGCTTTCCATTCTTGCCATGTCTAGGTATTGTTTGTAGTGACAGCCAATTGCTGCTTCTCTACAGAAGTAAACCCTTGAGACGTACATCCATAGTTTCTTTTTTTTTTCTAAGTGGGAACCAAGATGGAATTCTTTCCTTTGAAAGAGTATTTTGAAAAGCTTCTCAGTTTATAAGTAATTTTCCTTTTTTAAATTTCATTTAGCTTGAACTTGAGAAGCAGAAATTGCAAGAAGAGCAAGAAAACGCCCCAGAGTTTGTGAAGGTGAAAGGCAATCTCAGGAGAACAGGCCAGGAGGTGGCCCAAGCCCAAGAGTCCTAGGCTAAGGCTGCCCCAGAGACCTGGCATGTCCCTGCTGTCACCGGAAGAGCTGTGTCTTGATGCCTTCTCAGCGCTCACCTCAGGGCTAGAGCCCTGGGAGAATCCAACCAGCTGAGGGTCTCGACTACCAAAAGAATTTGGTTGGATCTTCCTACAGTCTGAGTGGATAAATTGTCTATGACAGTTGCAGTTCCCATTCGCCAAATGAAGGACACTGACTGGCACATCAGTTGGAATAATGGACCTGTGTTCAGAGACTAAAAACAAAAAATTAAGAGAAAAAGGAAGAGGACACTGGAATAAATTGTTGAGAGTTGCCTTGCTTGGTTTTTCTCCAGTTCAAGTTTAGTGGGGCACAGAACCTTGTTTCCTTTAAAAGCTAAAGAAAAAAATGTTTAATTCTTTTCTGGTTATTTGTTAGATAATTTAGATTGCATATGTATGCATTTAATGTGTTACATCCAATATTTGTAAATTTTGTTTTTAGAATCCAAAATTTCCTTATTTAATTTATACTTTCACCCATGTTAGAATTAATAGCAGAGAATGTTAACATTAATGTTGAGCACAGCTATTACCTTTGGCAGTACAATTCAGAAATCAGGTAAGGAGTCAAAAATATGTTAACATCCATCTTGATCTGATTTTACCTCCTTTTGGGTCCCTGGGTCATCGATGCTATGTGGTGTCAGCCACTTTCCAGCAAGCACATCGCATAAATTCATGTATTGCTTGATAACCAGAAGGTTATCTGTTCTGTTTAATTTTTAAGTTTTCTTGCTGAGCTAGTCCTAATAATTGAAAGGACTCTTCAATCCTTTGGAGAATGGAGCTAGTCTGGATAGCCCAGCTTCAGTATCAAAAGCAGAGTCCAGAGTCTTTGGATTTCTCCTGAGAGCAGTGGGGGGAAGGTTCCCATTAGAGGCTTCTTTACTCATTTTAATGTGAAGCAAATACAGATCTGTCTTAAGAAGGCCTTATTGAAAGATTTTGTATGTTTGTATTCATTTTGAGTATCATTAGAATCCAGGCTTTAAAAATTTCTCATTAATGATCACATACTTCTTTCCTTTTTCATTTTCTCCCATGGGAAGAACTGTTTCTGCACTGTCACTGTGATGCTGTTGATAAGGATGATGTTGATGACTACTATATCATATCGCAACTCTCAGGAAAAGCTGAGGTCAGGGCGAGGTAGCTCAGTTTCCTCATGCACGGTAATACACTATTCAAAGACATCCAAGTTACAAATAACAGCAGAATCCTCAGTGTGTTCTCTGTAGAGACAACTCAACCAGTCACTTCTATATTGAGGACTGTTCTTAGACTTCCTTTAATGATTCGTAGAAAGCCAAATCCAGAGCTTTGCGATCCTCGATTAGCAGAGTAGACGTTAGCTTTCTGTGGGAATGCTTTAGTTTGGTAGTTGACAGTGAAGCCTGTATTCAATCCAAATGTGAACAAGGAGAAGTAAGTGGATGATAATGCACTGCTAGTTAGAGAAATATGTTAGTTGACTACACCTAGGGTGGATTATTTGTCTCAGCAGCAAGTATTATTTGAATAAAATATGAGATGCTTAAGATAAAATGTTGCTCCATAATAGTTTGCTTTTGAAGATTAGAATGGTGTCATCTTTCTTTTGAGAGAAGAACGTGCAGTAACTAATCATCTTAAAAGAACCTCTCTGATTGCACATTGACTAGAGTTCTTTCTCTGTGTGTATGGACTAATGATGTGATTTGCAAAGTGAAGATTTGGGACTGGCTCCTATCTTTTGATCTAACTGGATGTTATATCTTGAGAGCTGTATTCTCAGAGCAGTTCTGTCACTTCACAAAATTCTCAAGGGCCCTAACAGGCCTCTCTAGAAGGACCAATTCTGTTTCGAGAACTTCCTTAGAATTCATCCAATACTGAGAAAAAGTTAACTAAAACACTTTCCCTCTAATCACACTCAGATCTGCAGAAACATTTGTAGTTATTACTACAGGTTCTGGCCAAAAGAGAACTTGTAAATAGCATAAGGTTATGGCTTCTGCTAGGTAGCAAAGCAGACAGGTAGTGAAGCTCTTTGAGGTTGTCTGAATCGAGTGGGCTCAGGAGCCTGAGTTTAAAAAGGTGTTCAGTCTGTCCTCATACCTAACACTGTCCAGTCCAAACCTGAGGACTCATGAACATCTGAGCAGTTTTGTGCTTTGAGCCACTTTTTGTCAAAAATGGCTCCATTTTTTCCACTCTGTGGCTTTCTTAAATAGTTCAGTGTCTTACAGTCTCCTAGTAATAGTGTTGCTTTCTAAGCTACAATAGTTAACTTTATTCTTCTACTCCAAGAAATCTTGACTTGTTTGAGTGTATATAATATATATAAAGGGAGCCTTAATGGATTTGTTTTCATAATTTAATATTTTTTGTATTTGCTCTTGTATAATTGTTTTTAATGGAAAGTATTACAGAATCAAGGGTGGAATTCTTAGAACCAAAGTTATTCTTAATAAAAATCACCACATGCTTGGACCATGCGGTCATGTTTGTCTGATCTTTTAAGATAGGTGTCTGGAACTGGAAGGGGCTGTGTTTAGTTCAAAGATTAAAAGGAGGTTCCAGGGTCTCCACTGGGTGGCTGTCCTCTTTGGCAGCCTTCCCCCCAGGTTAGTTATTTCCTATCACTGTGTTTATTGGGTCTGACAATTTATATGTGAAATTCATGTGAGGATATTGACTCTGTATACTAGAACTTATACACAGAATTTAGGGCACTTGTAGCAGCAGCTATCATTCCTTTAGGTCAAAGTATACAGAATTTTAGGTAGCTTGGTAGGTCAGTAGAAGATGTATTTTGGGAAAGGCCAGTTTTTAGTACTTATAAGCTAGTACAATTGTGGGATTCTAAAAATTTTTTGCTTATTCAGTTAAATTAATGTTATCCTCAATGAGGTTACTTTAGGAAGCTATAAATGGTTACATTATGCTGTTAGTTGCAATAGTTTGAAGGTCCAAGTCTGTACTTCATAATTCTCCCTGTATTTTCAACCACAAATTGTTACTCTGCTAATTTCTTAATAGCTGGTATCTTTGGATTCTTTTTCTGAAGTCAGCTTAGAGAGTAAAGTTTAAGATTATTACCATTAGCCAGGTGCCAGTGGCTCACACCTATAATCCTGCTTGGGAGGCTGAGATCAGGAGGATTGTGATTCAATGCCAGCCCAGGCAAATAGTTTGAGAGACCCCCTCCCCCGTCTCCAAAATAACCAGAGCAAAATGGACTAGAGGTATGGCTCAAGTGATAGAGCACCTGCTTTGCAAACTCAGAGTCCCAAGTTCAAACTCCAATTCCACCAATAAATAAATAAATAAAAGATTATACTCTGAGCTCTAAAACCCATGCAGAAGATGGATTCCAGATTAAGTGGTAGCCAAATCCTTGACATAACCAGGCAGTTTCCCAGGGTGACAGTTTTGAGCTGTCAATCCATTATTTGGACCACTGTGTGTATGTGTATGTGTTTTACTGTGCTAATAGATTTGAAACAGGACAGGACAATTGAAGTGTTGGATAAGTTTTGAAATGCTATAGTACATATTAAAAAAAGTACTAAAATAATACTGCCAGGTTTACAATTACTGTAATAAGTGATGAATTTTATTCCCAAAGTCTTAGGATAGATGAAATCTTTATGAGCTAATCTCACAATTACAACTTCTCCTTTCTTTTTTCCTCATGAGAAAATATAGTCTGATTATCAGCTGGGGATGCTGTGAATATCTCCCCATTTGCTCCTAGATTTTCTAGCAAGATGGTAATTCCCAAGCAGAGACTAGCATAAAGACTATTCAGTTGTTTATTTAAAGTATGTTTATTGCTTCTGTGTTGTTGCTGCACCCAGGCTCGCTCACTGTAAATAGTATGGGTGTGTAAGTGTGTATATACACATTTTCATTGATATTTATTTATTTATTTTGGTAGTACAGGGCTTTGTACTTGCCAGGTAGGCACTTTACTCTTGAGTCACACCTCCAGCCCTTTTATCTCTGGTTATTGTGGAGATAGGGTCCTGCTTTTTGCCTAGGCTGGCCTGGCCTCAATCCTCCTGTTTCATACCTCCTGCTATTCCTGGAATGACAGGTGTATGTACCACCACACCCAGCTTTTTTCTGTTGAGATGGGGTCTCGAACTTATCTTGCCTGGTCTGTCCTGGAACCACAATCTCAATCTTCTGTGTAGTTTGGGATAACAGACTCATGCCACCTCACCCAACTATTGTTTGAGATGGGGTCTTGTGCATTTTTTTGCCTGGGTTGGACTTCCTCACTAGTAGATAGAATTACAGGCATGAGCCACGGGCGCCCAGCTGATATTTATCTATACTTGTTAATTAGCATGAGTTCACACTAACACCCCTACTTACCTCTCCCCCTTTCCATATCTATAGCTCCCTTCTCCAGCAGTGCCTACTTACGTCCTCAGTCTCCCTGTGTGTGACCACTCCCCTCACCCTCCTCACTCAGACACTGCCTGGTGGCTTTTTGACAGAAAGGAAGTGGCAATTTTCCTTGAGCATTTAAACATGTATTGTAAGTTTAATTAGTTAAAATTGACTCAACCTGAACAACTACAGGTTTAGTATGGCTGATTTTTTGGAAACTTTCAAACTCCTCAATCATGCTTGAATACAATGATTAGTACATTTAATAATAGCTATATAAACTTAATTTTAAAATCAAGTCCATGTCCATTATTTTTACATTTAAAAAATTACTTTCCTACTGCTATAGTCATATTTATTTTCATGTCCTCCTTGGGACTCAGTTATACTCTAGTTCCTGGATTTTGGAATCCAGTCAAGCCAATTGAAGAAGGACTATCTCCTTAGACTAACTGAAGGAACAGAATCTGGGTTGTAAGAAAGACTGACTCTTTCTTACATGCAGAGCCTGACTGGGCAGTCCAGGTTAATTCAACCATGAGCCACGGGCCTTGGATCAATTATATAAAAAGTTATATAATTTGCTTGCTTTGTCATGGAATTTTTGATACCTCATCATTTGTTTTGATTGTTGGACTTGGTGTCCTTCCCAGAAGTGGTGTATGCCTTCTTTTTTGCATGGCCAGCATTACCTAGTCCTGGCTTTAGGGGCATACTGATCTTGTTCATTACCATTATTAAAAACTTACATGTGCCTTATCAGTATCTCATAATTAGTGGGATCATTGTGAGTGGTTTTCTGCTAGGTATCAAGTCTGTGTGCTGAGTTCTTGTGTTTGGGATAATTCGCCATTTGTGATCTTGGACAATACTGTTGGATTCTCTCTAATTTGTTGTCATATATATGGCCAACTGGATTTCTTTCTAAGAAATTTGGTTATTCTGTGTGACCACTGTTGCTCAGTCTTCTTTCCTCATGTACTACTTCTAGTATATTTTACGAGTGCCTGTATTTATTCTTTCTTGTACCGATAGGTAGAAACACACACATTCTTACACTTTATAAAAATATGTATTTCTCATAGAACAAGTAAAACACCCACCTAGGTGAATGTTCGCACAAGCAGCCTATAATCCTTATTTTTGTATTACAGCTGCTTTTTCTTTCTTGAGAATCAGGACGGATCTGTGGCTTTTTGTAGACTCAATTTCTTGCTATAATTTTCCTCTCCTTTTTAGATATTCAGAATATGACAGCTTGACCAGTGAAGCCCCTCAAAGCTTATGCCTTTATTTTTTTTATTTGTTTATTCACATGTGCATACATTGTTTGGGTCATTTCTCCCCACTATCCCCCACCCCCTCCCACTCCCCCCACCCCCCATCGCTTCTAGGCAGAATCTGTTCTGCCCTTAACTCTAATTTCATTGAAGAAAAAACATAAGCAATAATAGCGTTTTTACTAGTTGAGATAAGGATAGCTATGCAGGGAGATTCCTAGCATTGCTTCCATGTACTAATGTGTTGCATCCCAAGTTGATTCATTTCTAACTGTCCTTTTGACTACTTCCTGATCCCTTTCTCATATTGACCTTTGTCGCTTTAAGGTTTCTGTATTAGTTCCTCTGTAGTGGGGACATCAAATACTTTCATGTTTTGGGTTTCTTAGCTATCCCCTACCTCCCATGTGTGTGCTCTCTCCCCTTATCATGTGACCCGAGTCCAATCACATTGCTGTATTTTCCCTAGATCTAAAGTCTGCATATGAGGGAGAATATACAATTTTTGGTCTTCTGAGCCTGGCTAACCTTGCTCAGAATCATGTTCTCCAGTTCCATCCATTTACTTGTGAATTACAGGATTTCATTCTTTTTCATGGCTGCATAAAATTCCATTGTGTATAAATACCACATTTTCTTAATCCATTTGTCTGTAGTGGGGCATCTTGGCTGTTTCCATAACTTGGCTATTGTGAATAGTGCTGCAATAAACATGGGTGTGCAGGTGCCTCTGGAGTAACCTGTGTCTCATTCCTTTGGGGATATCCCCAGGAGTGGGATTGCTGGAGCATATGTTATGTCTTTATTTTGTTTGGTTTTTTTAATGAAAATACTTCTGTAACAGTTATGATAGTATTCTTACTTTGTTAGAACAATAAGATGTTTTGGGCCATCCTTATCGTTTTTCCTAACATGACATAGGACATTGTGCCCATTAGAGTCCTGGTTCCTTTTCAGGAAAAATAGAAATAGACATCAAATAAGAGGTGTGCAGAGAATTGCTAGTGGACAAGTATCCCTCGCAATATCCTGTTCTTATAGCATGAGGTCCCATTGAACCAGACAGCTTAATTACACTTAAAATTTTTTGCTGAGATACTTTCTTTTAAAGCAAGAATTACGAAGACCTACCTGCCTAGATACTAAAACATACTTTCCAAGCAGTAATAATTTAACTGTCCTTATGTTTGTCCAAAGTATAAAGTCCAGAAAGAGACTGATTTACATAATGAAATTTATAATGATGGGGGTAGATTTTTATTTCAAATTAGTTAAGAAAGAATTAAAAAATCAGTGAAAAGTTTTGGGAAGATTGGAACCAAGCAAAAAATACATTCTTCTACATAACACCATATTAAAGAATAACTCAAATTTATATAATGTTCAACAAGAATAATACTATAGATTCATTAGAAGGAAATGTAAGGGAATATTTTTATAATCCTGGGAGTGAGGGGTAGATAGGATCTTCCTAAGCAAGGCATCTAACCCCAAAACTACAATGAAGAGAACAGACAGATTTAACTAGTGAAAATGTACAAAGAAGATATGATAAAAAGGTTAAAAGGCAAGCAACAGACCAAGTCATATTGCATCCATAGCAGCAAATCAATAATACTTAAATTACATTCAGTAATACTTAGAGTACATACAAAATGTTTTTTAAATGTCAGTCCAATAAAAACAGCATATAAATAGGAAATTCACAAAAGATAAAATACAAACGGCCCATTGACATATGAAGAGATCAGAAAAATCACTAGTATCAGAAAAATGCAAATTAAAATTACAGTGGGGTAACTTCCACAGTTATTCACAAATAAAATAGTAGTGTTGGTAAGGATATTTTACATATTCACCTTCCGTGAGAATACAAATTAGTAAAGCCAATTTGAAAGTGTACGTATCTTCATACCCACCAGGGTTGATATAATAAACAGACTATAAATGATTGTGAGAATGTGGGGACATTGAATCCCTTGTTGCATGGGTGGTGAAAATGTAAAATGGTGGTCACTCTGGAAAAGTTTGGCAGTTTCTTCACTATAGATTTATCATATCACCTAGCAGTTCTACCCCAAAGTATATACCCAAGAGAAATGAAAGCACATCCACACAGTCTTGCATGCCAATATTAATAGCAGGAGTGTTTGTGTTTTAGCTTTCCATTGCCATGACAAAATACCTGAGGTAAATAAAAGAATAATTTGATTTTGGCTCATGGTTTCAGCTCACGGTTGCTTGGCTCCCTTGCTTTGGGCCTGTTGCAAGGCAGAACATCATGGTGGGGTGGAAGTGCTAGATAAAAGTTATTCATCCTATGGGGGCTGGGAAGCAGAGAGAGGAAGAGCCTGAGGTCAAACCCAATGATGTCACTTCTTTCTTCTAGGTCCCACCTCCTAATGCTTCCACCACCTCCAAATAGTGCCACAGGCTAGTGACCAAACCATTAACACGTGAGACTTTGTGGGGCACTCTAGACCCAAACATTAACAATTCATAGTAGCTAA